TTCCGCACCATACAAGTACGATGTGAATAGATGGCTGATGCCGGTCCTAGTGCTATACCCCAAAACACCAATGGCCGCCAGTAAGAGAAGAGGTATACGGTCGTTGCACTATCCCCCCGTCATCGATTCCATGCGTAAACCAAACAACACCTCTTCTTCCATCACAAAGGTACTATATGCAAAATGGCCCTCCGATTCCCACAGTATTAGCTTCGTCGCTGCAGTCTACTCTTGGCCCAACGGCATCTGGGGGAGTTGGTCCTTATGGACCATACTGGCCTGACGGTGCCTATATACCTTATCGACCCGCTGCGTCCCGCGATTTACGATACAGGCCAAGCCCAGCATTCGGCTCTGTTCAAGACAACTCCGCAGGTTTTGCGTCTCTCCAACAACCTTTTAATAGGCAGTCTCTCCCTTCTACAGAGTTACTTACTCCTGGATTCTCCTGGAATCCCTTGCCAGCACAACTACCGCAGCAGAATCCGCATCAATTGTATACTTCGGACCCAGTCGTCCAGCAATCATTTCCTCCTCGACGTTCACATCAAAACCAACTGGATACATTCTGGGAACAAAATATTGACCCTTATCGTAGTAGATCGTCACAAAATACACGGCTCGATACGCCGCATCAAAGACAGCCCCCAATTAGATAATTCCAACTGGCAAGCTCTGCCACAACAGAAGACGCTACAAGGTTCAACATCGGACATTGGCTCAAGGCCAAGGAATACCGAGTTCAAAGAAAAAATTCTATCCTGGGCACATAGTGTATATGTTGACCTGCTTACTTCCCTTCACCACACTCGAAGGAAAAACGCCGCATTAGGGATTCAAGACAACAATGCCCGATCAAAACCGAATATATATCCCAAACCCCCGAGACAACCGGCTTCTGACTTCGAATCACAATCCAGCAACGCAGATATTACTCATCATGATGTTCAGGGAGTCACTCTTCCGAATCAACAATTCCCTCGAACCCATTCTCGACCTATGGATATGATGATGGAAAATCAAATGGATGGCGGCAAACAAATCCCTCTGCGCAGCTCTGTTGTACCCGGTAACAATTTCATGCGGAACTATCACGACGACCGCGTTCATTTCGCGCAGCATCCCAATCATCGATTAGCGGACAGTCATGGATTTGATAATTTTCGCACGATGCGTCGCTCTTCTGGCGGTAATGTTTACGGTGAGGCTTCCGTGATAGAGAATGCTACTTATGCGTTGGATATCCTGTCTAGTCTTTGTCTCGAAAGCGGATGGGAATGGATAGATGGAATGCTTGTTGGCGGGTGTCTCGCCTATGGCCTTGGGGACTATGATAAAGCTCTTCGGTGGTATACCCGAATACTTAATAGAGATGCTTCGTACGTCGCACTCATCATTATTATTGTTCTAATAGTGGAGCAACCATGTTGTCGTTTGCTGACCTAGCATTTCTTCTTACTTTTTTGATAGACACGTCGAGGCGATATCTAACCTTGCGGCGACGCTTTTTGCGCTTGATCGACGCGAGGAGGCATTGAACCATTGGCTACGCGCTGTCAAGTTACGACCAAGCTATTTCGAAGCTGTAGAGCACCTAATTGGGCTTCTCTGCAGCACTCAACGGGGGAAAGAAGCTGTTAATATCATTGAATTTGGGAAGCAAATCTGCGTGCTAAAACTAACGGAGAATGCTTCAGATGGATGGTCTTGTCAGCGAAACGACAGTGAAACAGAGAGCAGACTGTGGTGGATTCACTACGAGTCATGGAGAAAGCAGCTTTCGATTATGAAGTGGAGCCTGACAGTCCCCCTAGCTTCGGTGCTATCACGAATGAAAATGCCCCTGGGTTTGGGTCAAGTGGATATGCCATACCTGGTTGTGACAATGGACGAATGCTTGCACTAATACACGCGAAGGGCAATATGCTCTACGCCTTAGGGGATAATGCTGGAGCAGCGTCGGCCTTCGAATACGCCATTCTCATCGGAGCAGGGAGGCGGCGACGTGGAATTCGAAGTCTTATCAAGCTGATATTGTCGGCGTTTGAGGAAGATAACCGCCACTGTTTACCGGCACCTTCACAGAGGCGCGACTCCACGAACCCCCTGTTACTTTACCCAGATAAGGCACTCCAAACGGCGACGCTCGTTTTCCCTCCCCAAGGAAACCTTCCAGGATTCCAGCATATACCCGATGGCATTGCCAAAAAGGCAGCTATTTCTACTACAAGCAACTCGTTGCTTTCCCTAGCTAAAATATATCAAGATGGGATGTCTACTACCACTCCAGGCATTGGAGCTTCAAAAACATCTACGGGAGTCCGTGACATCCTTGCTCTCTATTACCTTTCCCTCTCACTCCAGCCCAGTCCATCCACGGCCAACAACGTTGGAATTTTGCTCGCGAGCGTCCAGCAGAATGGACCACAGAATGCTCCTCGTCCATCTGGTGAGAACCAGTTGCCAGATATCCCTGGGGTTGTTCCAGGCAGCGGAATTGCTCTTGCTTTGGCTTACTATAACTACGGTCTAAATCTTGATTCGAAACATGCTCATCTTTATACGAATCTTGGAAGCCTTTTGAAGGATATTGGTCAGCTTCCGGCTGCAATCAAAATGTACGAACAGGCTGTACAATGTGACAATAAATTTGACATTGCGTTGGCCAATCTGGCAAACGCTGTGAAGGATTCAGGCCGAATTAACGACGCCATTGGCTATTATAAAAGGGCCGTTGCTGCTAATCCTGAGTTTGCAGAGGCAGTTTGTGGCCTTGCAAATGCGTTGAACTCAGTTTGCAACTGGGGAGGCAGAGGTGGGATTGCGGCTAATAATGGCGCACGCGATCGGTGGCATGTCGATGACAAAGGGATGCTTCGAGACGCGAAAGAAATGGGAGTTGATTCCGGCTGGATAAAACGCGTTGTTGAAATAGTGGATAAACAGCTCAAGGATGGGGAAATGTGGGGCTCTGGTGTGCTAGCGAGCATGCCACGGGACAAATTGGGTCTCAATCTAGCTCTCGTTGGACAAGATTCAGCTTTAGCCCATTACAACGCTTCTTTGAACGCACTCCTGAGAAGCTGGGCAGGACAGAAATGGGAAGGATCGAGAATCGTGAGACTAGTCGAACGTGCGATAAAATTGATCGGATGGCGTTGGTATCAGGATCGATATGTTCATGGCAAAGAGTATCCGCCCTCAAAATACGCCCGACCACAGCTTCCAACTAGCTTAACCGCTCCCAACGCACCTACGGTCTTACCGTTCCACACTTTTACATGCCCTCTTTCAGCAAAGCAAATTCGTCACATATCGCAACGCAATGGTCTCCGAATATCATGCTCTACTCTTCGATCCCCATGGCTACCTGGAACAGTCTACTGTCCTCCCCCGCCTCCTAATCCCCACCTAAACGTTGGATATGTTTCGTCAGATTTCAACAATCATCCTCTGGCGCACTTGATGCAGTCCGTTTTCGGCCTCCATAACCCTCATCGAGTCAAGGCCTTTTGCTATGCAACAACGCCTAGCGACAACTCTGTGCATCGAAAACAGATTGAACGAGAGGCGCCTGTTTTCCGTGACGTCAGCAACTGGCCCGTTGATCGATTAGTGGAGCAAATCGTCAAAGACGAGATACACATTTTGATAAATCTGAATGGTTATACCCGTGGCGCAAGGAATGAAGTTTTTGCGGCCAGGCCGGCACCCATACATATGTCGTTTATGGGCTTCGCTGGCACACTCGGTGCTGAATGGTGCGACTATATCCTTGCGGACCAAATTTCAATCCCCCCTGAAACTCTTGCTCCAAGAAAACGCATTACTCGGGTCGAAGATCGCTTAGTGGAGGAGGATCATGCTGAAGACCTGGAAGACTGGATCTATGGAGAGAGAATCGTCTTCACCCGTCATACCTTTTTCTGCTGTGATCATCGCCAGAGTGCCCCTGACTCACAGGACAGGCGTTTAACTTGGGAAGAGGAGCAAGTCAACAGGTGGAAAATGCGCAAAGAGATGTTCCCCGATCTCCGTGATGACGCTATAATTCTTGGTAACTTTAATCAGCTTTATAAGGTATGGAAACTCCCCACCGTTGGAATCAACTCCGCCCACCTTCAACCCCCCTGTACCAACCTCAAATGAAACTTACACTTTTTGAATTTCTCAGATCGAGCCAACCACATTTCGTACGTGGCTACGTATTCTTGCCCGCATTCCGAACGCAATACTTTGGCTACTTCGTTTTCCAGACCTTGGAGAACAAAATCTCAAACAGACAGCTGTTGCCTGGGCCGGCGAGGCCACTGCCTCCCGTATCGTTTTCACTGATGTTGCTCCTAAACATGCACATATTTCTCGTGCTCGCATTTGCGATTTATTCCTTGATACCCCTGAATGCAACGCTCACACGACTGCAGCGGACGTCCTCTGGAGTGGTACTCCCCTCCTCACGCTCCCGCGATATAAATACAAAATGTGCTCCCGCATGGCTTCTAGCATCCTGACCAGCGCTCTTCCGCAGACTGAAGCTGGTCGTCTCGCTGCTCGTGACCTAATTTCGTCTTCAGATGACGAGTATGAAAATCGTGCGATAAGCCTGGGTCTGGACCTGAGATATGAATTGGGTGGCCATGGCCGTGCTAAAGGGAGACTGGTCGAACTGAGAAAAATGCTTTTCCTGAATCGATGGGAGAGTAAACTCTTCGACACAAAACGATGGGTGAATGATTTGGAAGATGCTTATGATGCGGTGTGGCGTAAGTGGGTCAGAGGGGAAGAAGGCGACGTGTGGCTATAGCATTTCAGGGCCTTGATTCATCCCAAACCCTGTTGTCATGCAGGCATACCCTTTTGGCCGTTTTTAAGGCCAGCGGTGCCTAGGGTTGGATTCTCTCGGCATCCCTCAACTTCCCTTACATATCCATCTAGATGATATCTGCTTTTTGTTATACTTTTTTTTAAACTCTACTTTTTGATTTCATGTTTTATTCTCAATGTTATCGCCTTGAATTATGTAATTTCTATCTATCCCCTACCCTTTTGCTTTGAAGACAATATGGGACTTTGATGTTAAACATTATATCATTTTCCCTTTTGTTTTTGTTTGAGATATTCTGAAACAAGCGTGTATGTGGTCTGCCGACGGCGTTATTATTTTAAACCACTATATCTGGCACTTGGGGGCAAAACAGGATAAAGCATGTATTTGACATGGGACTTCAGAAGAGGTCGGTTGGCATTTTGTCAGGGAAAACACGACTGGAAATGGGTAGCCTCGTGCGCAATTTACTCCCCAGCCCAACACGTTTTTATCAAATCATTTTTGCTATGGGCGAGAGTTGGCTCCATCGTCCGTCGCCCCATTTTTTCGCTTCGCTTTGTTTTGCTAGCTCTTGTTCTCCCTCGCTTTAATTTATTTTCCATTTCTTTTGGGGTTTCTGATTAATGTATTCTTTCACACTACAGCCCCCCATTTCTTCTTCTTCTTCTTCTTTTTTTTTGCGATAGAGATTCTATTTTTGTATCTTGTATTTTTCTTTCCAGCTCTGTTCTGCTCTATACCTGACCCCTATTGCCTGGGTGTCCTTTTTAGATGATTTTTGGTCTAGGTTTTCCCATTTTGCTGGTTTGAAACAATCCTCCATTTTTACTTGGAGTCACTTCCGACCGCGAAGCGTCCTGTTTCCATCTAACTATATCAATTGTGGTTGCTACACGCCACTTTTTGTGGATCAACCGCTCTTTCGCCCTGGTTTGCTGGCAGAGGGGGGGTGTTATTTTACCACCTGTCTGAGCTGTCTGGGTAACAAAAAGCGCGGAGGAAGAGCAGGTGATCATTTAATTGCTAGCTTCATGGCTATTATCCCGAGTATTTGTATGATGATTGACGACGATTGTGTTTTTTGGCTGTTTGGCTACCTTCTCACAGGAAGTTTTCCTTTTTTACTTTACTCGTTGGCGGAGGGTATTGATTTTCTTTTGGTTTTATTATTATAGATATGAGCACACAGTGCCTAATCCTTTTTCATTTCTTGGTTTCTTTTTTTAAACCCCATGGAAAGGGATAGGATTTTTTTCTCTATTTTTATTCAGCATATCAATAACTAGACCATGGATCGCTAAGTCTCACAAGACGGGCAACGGCTTCTCTTAAGGGTGGATTTCTTGATAGATGGATGGGTTTTGATGGGCGGGTTAGTGTAATGAATAATATTCCTATTTGCTTGATTTCCTTTTGCTATGAGGCAAGGAGATGTGTTTCTTATGCTGTTCGGAACCTTCCTCGCCTGTATGCCCCGCCCTACAGCCGGTTTGTTTTGGTTATTCAATTGCTTCATATATGACCTATATAGAGAGAGATATTCTAAAGACTTACAATCATATTACTTTGACATAACAGATCCACCTGAGTCGTCATAGACCAATTAAACTGAATAAAAGAAATATAGATGTGTTGAGGTAACACATGGAAGAATCCTGCAGCTCGGGGTGTTCCTGTTAATGCATTCATGTGTGAGGATGGAATATTTTTTAAAAGGATTCAAAATACGCAACATGTGTGGAGTCTGCTTCTTTCATTGTTTTTGTAACCTAACATTTTGAACGGGGGGGGGAAGAAGTTCTGAAGCTAGAACTGCAGGGACTGTTTCGCAATCTGCGCATTGAGATTCGTATTTTGTATCTAATGGAGACAACCGATTAATTCGGGCTTTTTGTAGCCGGGAAGATTTGGTGCGGTTCGCAAAGTGGTGAAAGGAGGAGAGAAAAGATAGCGGGACAAACGACATGCAATCTAGCAACGTATCAACACATACTTTTGCCTGCTACAGGTATTCAGGAACACCGCAGTACTGTATGAGTTATATGAATCATGGGAATGAATCCCTTCCGTTGGGGACGGTCGGTGCGTATAACTACCTGGTATCTTAAAACTGCCTAGGTGATCTTCCTGTGTCTAGTGGAAAGCAGGGAGCAAATAACCTAGGTATGACAGGCTCTAGTTTAACCATTGACACCAACCCCGTTGCTAGGGGATAGCATGCGCTACCAAGATCGCTCAGTTCTTTTCATGTAAAGCCCACCTTCGTCTTCGTGGGCTCAAAGGTATCAGGAGCCGGGAGGGACGTGCAAGGCAGAGGCTGATATCAGCGTTACGGTCAAGAGCGAGGGCTGTCCGCACTCAAAGTAACGCGTTTTTGCAACGCCCAGCCGAACTTTGAGCAATGTGGGGATCTTGTAAGCGGGACTCTCATAGCTCATGCAACGTTTAAGAAACAGAGGTCACGGCGTCCAAGGAACCAAACCAAAGAAAAGGGGATGGAATGAAAATGCCAGCCCTGGCTGCAGAGTATGCTCACTGATCTGATGGTGCACTACGGAAGGGCCATCAGAAGAGCTGAAAAAGGGTGCCAAGGGGATCGTTCATTGAAAAAAAAAAAAAAAAAAAAAACTTCGGGAACCCCGAGGGACAGGATTGATTCGCTGATCGTGCAACAGGCCAGACTGACGGACTACCCAAGCAGGGCCGCTTCAACGTGTGAGGCGCATGGGGGTTCGTCATAGGCTGGGTGTTTCTTGTGCAAAATGCAGGGGATTATTGGCCAAGCATAATCCCCTGAACATGTCCACGTACTATGTCTGTGTGGATGTCTGTACGGATGGATGGATGGATGGATACGACACACTCCGTCGAGTTTGTGTGCGAGGATCAACCCCTCTCGATCGCTAATGGTAACTTGTGTTGGATCAAATTGGACCCAAAGCGGCGAACATTCGGCTAGGATATTTTGTGGCTACCTGTACACTGGGTTTAAGCAAGGATAAAACCAAGCCTGGCCGTCAGTGTTCAGCTCGACTGCCAGCTGCAGCCTTTGCACCTAGGCGCCTTACTTTGTCTGCAGCATACCCGTTCCTGTGGTTCGCTTCCTCCGGCTGCTGGGCATCAACGGTAATAATAACGGTGGATTAGGACATAACGAGGATCCTTCGAGGGAGGGATAATTTTTAGAGCATCATGGTTCCAACAATTTATACGATCGTTCGTGTAATCCCAGTCCTTCATCCGGATGGAGCGATTCGTTGAATCGTTTGATGGCTGCACATTTATAGCATTTTGCCACTTGTCACTCATACTCGCGGCAGTGTCGGAGTCGTTCAAAAGGGATGTTTTGCAATAATTAAGCCACAGTGTGGTATTTTACGTGCCCAATATCTGACGGATTTGTGCATCCCAAGTGACGATTAACCTACCCAGACATGCGTGCTTACTTGCATGCATCAATTTATTTCCAACCATCGTCTCACATCTCATCCCTGTCATCAATGGTGATCAATAAAAATCCAGCTTGACAAGGGCCCCCTTGTACTGCATTTGTACGCCAAGATTTATGTTGTCTCCCTGGGTGTCGATGTGGGTCGACTCGCTTGCCTACAAGACCGTTTTCATAGTATGCCACATATTGGCTTGCGGACCCACCAGGTTTAACGAACCTTGTTGGGACTGAATGGACGTCGTATCTCGCCTCATCCACGTTGTCAAAAGGAGCCAGCGTTGAGCCATCGAAGTCTCGACTCGATTTTCTTTCTCCTTTAGGAGGATTTCGAGACTGTCCAAGGAATGTGGCTTAAACCTCGGCGTTCTGTTGATGGAGGAGCTTGATCGCCCACCGTTTTTGGCGGGGCGGGATCAGTTGAAAGCATGTGTAGGATGGCAGCCAATCCAGAGCCTCAGAAGTCAGGAGGAGGTGGCTCCTGAGAGCTGGCCTCCTTTCAGCCTGCACAATTCTCCACTTTCATAAAGTCATAATTCTCTCGAACTGGGGGCCAGGAGAGCTAAAGCCGACTTCTCTCTCGTTTGCTATTCGCAATCTATTCGAGGACCCACCCCATCGCTTATCTGGACGAAGGAATCTCAATCGAAATCGCCAAGCAGAAAGTGCCTGTTCAAAAGGGACTCTGTGGAGAGCCCGGACCCTGGGGTCGCCGCTCGTTCATCCTTTGGGCACATCGCGCTGTGCCTAGTACTAATCCGGAATGTTGCACTCACTGGGCTCATTGAACAGGTGGTTCGCAAGTAAACTTGCGAACATGACTGTTGCAGTTGAGTTTAACGGGAACTATGCGGAAAACTTTTTGCACCGGGCTAAGGGCTGTTCATAACCTCATCATCACTAACCGCGCTTTTACCCCTCCAGAACAGGAAGAAGACTAAGGAGAAGACCTGATACTTTCCAAACGGCCCCATCATTCACTCGTGAGCGAGACGTCGTGCCTTGTGGAAATTATGCTCTTCTTCGGTTGAAACATCCCATCACAGCACAGCGCTGATCTGCGACCTGCCCAGCCGCAAATGGTATTAAATGTGGAAATTGTGGCATTATTACAGTGACGATAATGGCGAGCAGAATAATTCCGTCAGTCCAGGCTAGGCCACTGAGCCAAGATATGGGTATCGCATCCACATGTTTGACCAAATATTTATCGCGGTCCGGCACAATGTCAATAACGAAAGACCTGTGGATGATTATTTTGCCTGTCGAATGGAACTTTCTTTGGAAGATAGCCAGCCAGCTTTGCGTGGTTTGATACGGTCGTTGATCTGCGACGTGGCAAAACTGTCGAATATGGTAAGGATCTGTAGATAATTTACTGTTCATTTGTTTCCTTTGTCATGTTTTGTGAATATGTACGCACTCAATACTGTGTACTGAGATGGCAACAAAGCATGTCATATGTAAGGGATTTTGACCCATTAGCCGAACATGTTACCCCAAAACTTTATCTGAAGACCCTTTTGAT